ACCACTCATGCAAAAGTACTGCTGAAGGGGTTGTCTTATATGCTGGGTTAGACATAGCCCAGCTAAGGACTCTATCAAAAAGATGATACAAAAGTGAGAGGAAAAAGAAAAAGAAGTGCAAAATTAGAGTTGATGCAAAGACAAGCTTAAGAGAACAGGAGAGAAAAATTTGAGGAAAAGGAAGGGAAGATAAAGATTTTCAGAAGAGTTTTTGTTTCTTAAGTAGTGTCTGCTACTCAAGCAAACACAGATCAAGGGAGAATTTTTCATCTTCCTGACTAAATAACTTAGAGTAAAAGCTCTTCTTCTGAAAATGCAAACAAAACAAGAACACAGTTTTATTTCACATTTCTACCAGCATTGCACTGGGAAGGAAGTACTGAAAGGATGCAGTGCTCATCCCCAAGGCAATGAAAGACAGAAAGGTTGAATCTAGACTTTAGAGTTCCCATCAGGTATCAGATTATTCAAGAAAAATTAACTCACATATGCCTACAGCAATGTGTCTATGAACAGATGTTTGGCTTCATTCCAGCTAGGAAATACGGCACCATTCCCCAGGTGCTCTTTGCAACCTATGCTGAAGGTCACCACGGGCCAATCCATCTGCCCAGCAACATAGTTTATGGTTCCATAATTCACTTCAAGCAAAATCCAGGTGCAATCACACTGCCAACTTAAATTGTTTGAGATAATGTGGTGGATTTTGTATGTAGCAAATTAGGGAGTACTCACACAGAGCTGGTGAAGGAATGGCTGGGTGATAGTTCTGATGGTGTGGAACAAGGAGCAGATGGAAACAACAGCCTCTTTTAGCAGCACAGCTAAACATGGAGATCTGTCAAAGGCTGTGTAAGCATAAGAGCAAACTGCTGGGTTTCACTGGCACCTCTAATGCTGCAGGACAGGCTTTCACATTCTGACTCCCATGGAAAATGAAAAGGCAAAAACAAAAAAGAATTTAATTTGATCAAGTAGTTCTCCAAGGCAAAGCAGTCTAGAGTTAAAAGAATAAAAAAAATCCCTCTCCTTGAAAATCCATCTATTCTTTCCGATTTATCCTGCAAAGAAATCATAATCCTGCAACTGATGAAACCACAGCATGTTACCTTGGTAACTGATAACTCAAATTCAGTCTTAAGAACACACTCAAAGGCCAGACTGAATGAAAAGTTAGGCTAAGGAAGGTATAATTCACAATGGAAGTACAAGAAAAAAGGTGCCACCAATATTTCTGGTTACAAAAATTCTATAGAATAAATTTAAGCATGTTGGGAAACAAAAGAATAAGATCACAGAATGTCAACACTGACACTGCAAATATATATCTATCTCAGGAAGCTCTGAATATCTGTTTTGAAAACACCTATAGTTATAGGAATATGCTATTGCTCAAAACCATCAAATTATTGTCATAACATTTTCTGCCATCTAAAATGAACATGTGTGCATTCTTTGATATCTTTTTCATTGTTATATGCTAGAAAAAAAAAAACTGTATTAAACTAGTCAGGTTGATTAATATAAGCAAACATTTCATTCCATACTCTAAGGCATACTTTTCAACGTTTTGGTCAAACCCTTGGGTATTCCTCATTTTTTTTTTTTAAAACACAGCAGCACAACTTTTCTTAGGATCAACTCCAGCACTGAGCAGTTTCAGACTCAAAGATCTATCTGTGCCCATACATTTGCTGTGTTAATGAAATACATTATGCCCAATTTATGATATAATATATAATCACAAGCTTTTCACATATGTAGTGTTTGTGAATCGTATGTAGCATAAAATTCTGTAATTTTAGAAATGTATTTATGGGTGTAAACACAGTATAATTTTATATCTAGGAAAAAGTTATGAACCCGTACAACCAAGCTTCAAATAAAAATGGAGCAGAATTAAGGCAGAATTTATAACCCTAAACTTAGAATCTCAGCCTCTATGCAGTTGTTTCACAGTGCATCCTCAGGGCTTCATGTCAAACTTGAGAGGGAGATGCAGAGAAAAACAAACATACAAAACCACACTCTCACAGAGAAGTCCAGCCTGAAAAATTCTGGCCCCAAAGGCAATGGTTCTGAAAACCATTAGGTAAGGAATTCTGGCACACACCTGGATGGTTCTTCAGAAAGCTCCATCTTTTAAGTAAGTTCTAGAAAAGAAAGCAATTTTAAAAGTCTCAATTTCTACATGACCTTTAAAGTCCTCTAAGCTGTCAAAGGCACTGCACGATGCTCTCATGAAAACATCATTAGGAAATGATGTCTTCCTCAAAAAGCAGAAGAAGAGAACAAAGCAATCTGCCCCACAAATCTCTTGCGGTTTCCATGTGATGGGGTGTTGCAGAACTCCCAGCACAACTCAACAGAAGCACTGACTCTGCTCTCAAACAAGGGCAATTGCACTGATGGAAGAGAAACAGGGAAGGCCCTGAAATGAGGGAAAAGGAAAAGAATTTATTGCAGTGCCATAGCATCTTGATAGTTTTTGTGTCCTTGACCTGTCAGATCCAGAAGACAACTCCTCAACTGAATGAAACACATCTATAATTTTCTAACCATTACAATTATCATTATTGCTTAGCAGGAGGTACTTTTCATTCTATTTGATGACTGCTTATTATAGTACTTAGAAGGAAGTAACTTACAAGTTGTTTTGGCTTTGTGAGGTAAAAGCTCTAACCAATATTTCATTTGCCTGAGTAGGGTGTGAGTCTGAATCAAAGCTAAGGACAATCATTTTTATAACTACGATGACAGACTCAAATGGACTGGTTCAATACATTTCATGGCTAGCACAGAGTAAAAGAAGACATGTTCATGGGCTTGAAGAGCGTGAATGAAAATCTGTAAACATTCATGTTGCTAAGCATATCAAGAAAGCATCCAAAAAGAATTCTGATAAATCAGACATTTTTCAGACTGGGGAGGGAGGGGGAAATCTGAAGTTTTCTCCCCTTATAGTTATCTGCATAACTATAGAATGCAGATAAACACCAGTGCATGTGTGTCTACGTATACACACACAAATGCACTGCAGTAACTTGGGAAAAGCTTAGGAGAAAGTATACTACTACCTTACCTGCAAAACATTTCTAACAGACATACTGGATTTCTGCTAACAAAAGCAGAAAAGCTTGCTAGCACCAGGGGGAGGAAAAGGGAGTTAGGCACAAGAACAAACATTCAATTGTGTTCTTTTAATCAAAATCAGTATCCTTAGGTTCACTTTCTAAAGATCCTTTTAAGCTGACAACTACACCTACCTCACTGTTGAATATTTGTACCTTCTTATCTGAAAATGGTCTGAAAAATGTAGAAAGTGAACTGTGTTGGTACTTTGCACCTGCAAGCCTTCACTAGGGAACAAAGATGCTATCAACTGTCCCTCTAACATTATAGGGATACTTGCCTGGTAGACAAAAACTCAGAGAAGCAAACAAATAAGAAATACTCTGGTCTCTGGACTATACACATCTGGCATCGAAAAAAAGAATTACAGCATGTCAGTTGCATTAAAAATCAGTACAACCAAAATCTGTTGCAAAAAACTCACCAGTACTACACAAATTATATACAGCTGAAAAAACAGTTTTAATTCTTGTTATGTAAGAAAGAATTTACAAATTAGTTCTAATAACTTTAAAACTCTTAATATAAACTTATGTCATTAAAATCTGGGGTGGTGGAAAAACATGTAAAGGAAAATATAGGATAAAGTACACAATTGAAAAAAAAAAAGCCAAAATTATACAAAGCCCCATAAAATAAAGTTGTCGTGGGACTTTTGCTGTTTTGTGGAGGTTTTTTGTTTGGGTTTTTTTTAAATGAAGAGTGGCACAAGGGTTGGTTCAGATTTCTTTATACTTGGACTACCACCATTATCACTAAGGAACTGTTTCATTTGTTGCAAAATATTTGCATATCAGAAAGTCTTGAGAGACTCATGAGGCCCATCTAATCTATGCTTAGGGAAAGCAACAAGGAATGTAGCCAAAGAAGATGAAAAGATTTGATTTGGCAACAAGGACCTGCTGTGGACAAAGTTTTTTTTCCCATCATCTCTTGAAATCACTCTACTTAACCTTTAGTATTGACACAGATTGACAACTGTATTGAGGGAAAAATGAATTTTAGCAAATCAGAAAACAAAAATCAGTCTATCACCACAGAAAAGTGGAAGGGTTTACAGGAGAACAACACCTAAACAGAATGTTCACCTTTCCTTACAAGTGTCCTTTGGGGTAAGACACACTCCAACTTTTTTTTTCCCTCAAAATGGTATATTAAAGTAAAATCTAAAATAAACTAAGCTACATCAGTCTGCAAAGGAAAACACTGGGGTTTCAAAAGGTTTTCATTGTAGCACAAGATATTGAGCATGATATGCAATTTGAGCACACAATGGTGATGTAAATTGATAAACAGCCTTCCATCATTCAAGGCTACAACTGTGCAAAACTTCATTATCAGCACTCTCATCAAAGATACTACTGACTCTTCTCTATCTCATTTTCTGTGTCTTTCTTCCATTTTTATTTACTCTAGTCAGAGAATAAAAAAAAAAGAAGGTTGCTTACCACCTGTATGCAACACCTTGCAATCTGCTGCTGAAGGGTCATTTTCACCCTCTTTAATGTTGCTGATGTTGTCTTTTTCAAGCAGCCTGTCCACCATGGCAATCACGCAGTTTAAACTCTTCCCACATTGGCCCACACCCTGTCCTGAAGAGAGCATAATTATCACTGCACATGACTGAAGAAGAAAAAGTAGAGACAATACTAACTTCTTATTAATACCTTAAAGTGGAGAGAGAGATGCACAAATTAAAGTTTTTTCTTGCAGTGTAAATGACTGAACTTTTCACACCTCAACCTATGAGTCTCTTCACCATTACCCCTCCAGTTCTCTCCCCTATTCCCTGGGTGGGGAGAGTGAATGAGCGGCTGTATGGTGTTTGGCTGCCAGCCAAGTTAAACTATGACAAGGTTCAATCACTGAACTGAGCAGTTTGTCTATTTGAAATAATACAGTAAGAGTGTAGACATTCAAAGCCTTGCCAAATCAAATCTTGTGTGCAACTGCCAATTTTGCCATAGTGCTTGACAAACTCTTTTTGATAATTTAACATACCCTGTTTCATCACATCAGTTAAAGCAAATGTAAAATTAAAGGACTAGGATTACAAACTTGCTGTCATGACATGTTTATTAGCTAGCACAATTTTAATTTCATTCTTCACCTCTGACACCAACTGCAGCCATCACACTCAACTGAGTTTATAATAAATATGAGAATTACAGAAGTAATAGTGCGATAGAAGAAATTCTATACAAACAGAGAACAAAAGAGATAATACAGAGTGAAAGAGGAAGCTGTTATGGAAGAGAGCTTCAGGAAAGTTCCTTCAGGTGCTGGATGCTGCAGAAATCACAGGTCATGCACCTACTTTTGTGGGACTGAATAAGAAAAAGGAAAAAAAAAAAACAAGCCATATAAGAATGAGGCTGTACACAGGCTAGCAATCAGACTAAAACGAATCACAGAATCACAGAATCACAGAATGT